TAGGACAATATTTGGGAATATCAAGAGACGAAAAAACGGATGATTATATTTTGGTAACGAGTTACGCAAAACATGGATCATTAAGCAAAAATCTTGTTGATATCTTTAAGTTTGAATGGAAAAATAAATTAAAGATACTTCATGATATTATATCTAATCTTCATCGTATTCATAAGAAAAGATATTTACATCGAGATTTACATCCAGGAAATATCTTGTTAAAAGATGATTACTCAGCATATATTACCGATTTAGGTTTATCAAAACCACTTGATGAGAAAGATCACGAAGATCAGATTCATGGTGTCTTGCCATACATCGCTCCTGAACTTTTCCAAAGAAAAGCGTACACTCAAGCAACAGATATTTATTCATTTGGAATCATCATGGCAGAAATAACAACTGGACAGAGACCTTTTGATAATCATAAATTTGATGAAGTTCTTGTGTTTAGGATTAGTGAAGGATTGCGACCAAAATTTGGAATTGGAACTCCTAATTATTATGTTGAATTAGCAAACCTATGCATGGATTCAAATCCAGAAAAACGGCCAACTACTAATGAAATTATTACTAAATTAAATGAATGGTTGGAAATTTTGAATAAAAATGAAAGGTTGAAAATTTTGAATAAATTTTCTAAAAATGAAATTAAAAAGCAGCAGTTTTTCGGAAGTGATAAGATTAACAAAAAGGTTACAATAACTAAAGAAGAGCTAAAAAATAGATACACTAGCAAACCATTTAATACTTTGGAAATCAGTGAAAGATTATCAAAACTAAAACTTAGTAAATCTGTTGGTATCGGTATGGAATTTCCAAATGATATTTAACGAATTTTTTTATTTTTTTATATTTTTTTGCTAAATATTATTTTATGTATAGAATAAATTATATCATTTAAATTATTTTTTCGAAAAAAAAATATATACAATACAGTATTTAATATTTTAGTTATTTTAATATCAAAATTTTCTAAACCAGTTCTATAATTTGGTAACGATCATTTTCGAACTAGCTTATATGGTCAAACTACTAATTCGAAATCGAATTATATAAATAGGGATATTAGGGGGTTTCAAAGTTAACAAATAAGTGACGCATTTCGAAAATAAATATGATTTTTTCAATAGTATTTTTATTATGTTGAATTATAAATCGGAAAAATAAAATGAGATTCTCTGATTTTAACTTTGAAACCCCCTATTAAACAGATTAAACAAATTAATTACGATTCACATAACGATAATGAAAAGACTGAATAAATCGATCGGTTTAAATATGTTAAACTGGTTGAACAGTTTAACAGGCCACTGTACCACTAATAGAGGTGGGATTGTTAAACTGGTCATGAATTTTTATAATTTTTTCACAGTTTATGTTTTTTTTTTTTTTATGAATGGCGTATAAAATCAAGCAGGTCTTTTTAAGTAAATCTAATATTGTAAAACTGGGATTAGTAAATAAAGTAATGGGCTTCCAAAATTAACAACTAAGTCAAAAATAAATAGAATATTTTCAATAGCATTTTTACCATGTTGAATTGTAAATCGGAAAATAAAATATGATTCTCTGATTTTAACTTTGATGGTACTTAAAGTGGAATAGGTCGCTCTCAAGCTTAAATGTCAATGTGATTAGCAAGTGATCGTAATAGTGCTTAAGCATAATTATATTTACAAAAAAATTTTACCGAAAATTTGAATATGCAATTTATGACATAATTGTAATCTTCTCAAGCATCAATTTCAATGTGATTAGTGAGTGATCGTACTAGTGCTCATTTATTACGATCAATCAAAATAACCATTGAAGTCAATATTTGAACAGTCCCCTATTGATTTCTATTATTTGTCAAATGTCATCGTCAAAAATTAAAAAAAAAACCCTCCAAAAAAATAAAACCAAAAAATTAAAAAAATAAATAAAAAATAAAATAAAAAGCGTCTATCCAAAAGAAAGTAACAGATGTTACTGATTATGAAATTCTAGTGAAGCATCAACTTCGGTAGTTTCTAGTACTCCATTCGCTGATTTCACCAACTATAATGACGGAATAGTAGAATTTATTGCCATTTGAGCGAAAGCCAAGAGATGGTAAGTATTTGATATTGTTTCTTGGGCTTCTCAATTTTTTTTATTTTCCATAAAAACTTTTAATGCATGAAGTAAAAATAATAATTTGTTGTTGTCGAAAATAATGAACATGCAAAGTTGCTTGAGTGATCTCTTTGAATACTATATTGAATGTAAAATTTTCAAAGGCCGGTATAAAAAAAAAGAGGTCTGTTGTAAAAAGTTTGTTGATTAAAATGAAAAATTCATTTAATGTCTTTTACTAAAAAAAAAAATTTATTGCGTAATAAACTTTATTAATTTACGTATATTTGTTGTGCCTCAGACTAACGTTTGCCTCGGGGCTTACACATCGATCTACATGTCCGGATTAATCATGCTGGTAATTTCCTTATGAGGCAATTTCTGCCATAAATCCGTAACGTTGGTCATACCAACAGTATGTTTGGATGTTCAATAAATATTTGGTCAATCGTCCCAAACAATTCGGTATTTTGGTCATATCGCACGTTATCTTTAATCCGCCAAATCTTTAATTGGTATTGTTCCTTCTTTGATTTAGGTTTCATGAGTGAATAAACAAAGTCCTGATTTTTTAATAGTTGGAATCCGATATTTTCTTGAGTGTTGGATTTTCCTTTAATATTCTAGATGCATGCATTCTATCTTGAGGCCGGAATGCTGCTAAATATTTGTAATTATAGTGGCCGTTTAGGAGTCTATTGACTCTATTGATTTTATTTTGTATCTGGCCCTTTTCGTATTCAAGGTGTTTTTTGTATTTTTCTATCTGTAGAATCTCAATTCTTGGTGTGTTTTCTACTTGTTTATGATGAGTAGTAAATTCCTGGTCTGTCATTACTGGCAGTTCCTCCTGAATTTCGTTCTCATCTGCTAAGCTTTCTATTTCTTTGTAGGGGTACTTAGCTTCAAAGTTTATATAATCATCAGCAAGTTGTTCTTCTTGTTGTACTTCTTGTATTTTAACAAAATATTGGTATATTCTGTCAAATATTAATTCTAGTGGCTGTTTGATCATTGGTATGAGGGTTAGTTCCTTTACTTCATCATAAGTATACCATTCCCATGGTGTTGCTTCTTCTGGTTCACATTGTTTTAATTTTTGGAATATGTTACATGGGTAAATAAATACAGTTCTTCGTATCTTGTATTTAGCTTCTGTTGGTAAGCAGTATTTTTCTGCTACCCATTCCTGTGAGCTTGGTTTAAATTCGGTCCATACTTTAATAAGTAATTCTTTTTTCATTAAGATGTTGGCTTCCTCCAAGCCTTCTCTTATTGCTGTATATTCATCACTTTTACATGGTTTTCCATTTCTATCCAATTCTTCTTTTCCTCCATATCCTTGATAATGGTTCCAAAAAACTTTCTTTGGATTAATTCTTTTAGACAATCCTATTTGATATCCTTTTCCTGGGTGGTATCTAAATGGTGCAGTTTGTATGATTCTGCGTTCTGGTAATTCTAAATAGTGTATTAAAGATTGTGCCAAAAATTCTAATTTTTGGCATGTATTGCAATTATCATAATAAATTTCTTGGTCGTTTTCAATTTCTTTATATTGTTCCATTTCCTGGAATTCATTGCAACTAGTACATTTCCATGTCATTCCATATTGCGGATCGTTATACAGTGGTAACTGCTCCATCTTCTTCGTTTAACTGCTGTACCGTGAACTTTACAAATTCTAAGTTATAAATTTCTTCCTCTAACAGCTCTTTTTCTTTTAACAATTTTAGTTTCTTTTGTAATTGAAATTCCTCTTCAGTTTGTCTTTGTGCGTTTAAAGTTTCTCTGCGGTTACAATTTTTGCAACATCGTAGTTCTATTTTCTTGTCGTATTTCTTCGAATATTTTGAGTATTCTTCTATTTTCTTGTAGTGTCCACATCTTGGACAACGTTTTTCGGTAGTTCCTGATTTAGTAATTCTTTTCACAGGTTCGTATCTTCTAAAATTATTTCTGCAGTTGAAACAGGTTTTCAATCTTTTTGATTCTTTAATAAATACAGACTGTTCTTGTAGTTTCGCGCAGGTTGAGAAGCGTATTAAATATTTAAATAAGAATTTTCCTTCTTCGTCAGTTATTATTTCTACTGATTGTTTCTGGTAGAATTGTCGTATTCCTTCTCTACACTTGTTACAGGTTTTATTTATAACTCCAATTTTATTATTTATGGAATAAGTTCTATTAGGTGTTTTGCACTTGCAACACCTTTTGGCTGTTTTATCAAAATTGTACTTTTTCTTTGGTTTCACTTTGGTCATTAATTTTGATTTGTTTGTTTTGTTTAATACTCTGAGTGATATGTTTAATATTGAAGTAAGTGATCTTTTCAATCACTTCCAAATCCTTTTTTAATTGTTCTTCAAGTTGTTTCCAATTATCTAATACTTTAAAGTTGATCTCTTTGGATATTGATTCTCAAAAATATTGTAGTTGTATGTGTCATAACTTCTTTTTTAATTTCTTTTCAAGTTTAATATTTTTCATTTATAATGAACAAGATCGTTTCCTTGCACGTATGAGAACTCGTGCCAAATATGAGCTTCAGATTGGTCTAATGTATAATTAAAATTATCCAACAAAGTGATAATATAAAAATCTTTATTTGCTAATGATGCTTATAGTTTAGTTGTAGTTTTCTCGAGCTCCTTGTTTCCTATAAATGTGCCTTGGTGTACGAGTACTTGATTTGGTTCAATAGTTGCCAAATTTACTACAAAATGTTCTATTTCAGAAATTTCTTCCCTGAGTTGTGAATAAGTGATATTACATAATCAAATTCAACCGGAATTGTTTACTTTAATTATATATGTTTATATAACTGATAATATAAATAAGGCAAATTTTATCGAATTTAGTTTGGTTGTTTTCGTGATATCTCTGGTTCTATTTTAGATTCATTTGGCTGTTATTTATCGTATCGTTATGTGCTATTGAAGATGAAATCCCAGAAATAGCAGTAAGCAGAAGTTTATGCGGCTTAGCGCTGGCCGGCGGTTTCCCGCCTGCATAATGCAGGCTGGCTGTCAGTATTAGCATGTGATATTGGGGCATTTCATATACTAATTAATCAACGAGGTATTATCGTTATAGTAAAAATCAATAGTACAGATTTTATGCATAGATCGGCAAAATCGATAAATTACCGCCAGCTCCTTTATTCATACATTTCCAGGCAAGTCTTTTCTTCTTTATGTAATCCATGCTTATTTTATTCACATTTGAGCCAAGCCTAATCGATGCTTTTGCCAATTCTCTATTTATTTTCACCAAATTTGTCATCGTCACAATATTATTATCTTTCTTTGAATCGTTCGAATCATCACTTTCAATACATTTCAAATAGCATTCAGATGCTTTATGTTCATCCTTATTAGATCTTCAGTGGTTAATAGATGCTGCATGCTCATTTCTTTCAATTTCTATTCTATTACAGTTACAACTTCGAACATCAAATGCCTTACTGGAATTATCACCTTTAGCCGATTTCAAATGCCGTTCAGGTGCCTTGTTATCATCCTCAGACATTGTCTTTTTATCATCTTTGATATTACTAGCATCTTCTCTTAAATCTCTATTCTTTCTATCAAAATCTATCAACATCGTTCTATTTCCACAATTTCTATCTTTTTCGATTATATAAGCTTTATCTACTTTATTATAATGATGGATCTCAGCTCTATCATCCAGATTTATGCCATTTTCTTCAGAATCAATCGTGTCATTTTCATTAGTGTTTAAATACCATTCAAACATTTCATTGCCATGCTCAGCAGATTTTTGATCATGAGTAAATGTCTTACTTTCATCATTTTGATATTTAGATATATCAACGTTTCATCACAACATGTTCTAAGGTTATTTTGTCCTTTCAACTTATTGCCTTCAGTCGATTTTGAATAGCATTCAAGATTACTTTGTTTATTTGAATCATCATTTTTATCAGGACTCAAGCACTGGTTAAGTATCTCACTTTCATCCTTTTCAATACTATCTCTATGATGGTAACAATCTTCAACAATAGATGCTTCATCAGCATCACTCATGTTAGCAGATTCCTGATAATAGATGGATGCTTTAAACTCATTCTTTTTAATATCTTTATCACTGGACACTAGATTGGATTTGTCTTTCTTGACAGTTTCTTTACCATTCATGAGTATATTTTCATTGTTTATATTGTTACTGTCAACCTTGGTTGCCATCAATTATTCCAGCAAATTTTTCATCATAGCATTCATTCTCATTACTTCGTCTAATGATGCTTCCATTACTACTATCGCCTCTTCTCTTTGATAACAATAGTCAACATCAACGGCTCTATCAGCATCATCCACATCAGCAGAATTTTGACAACACTTAGGCACTATTATTTCTCTAGCATAACCTATATTTGCTGATTTTTGATAATTAATGAATGTCTTATGTTCATCCTTTTCAACACTCATTGCATTCTCGTTGCAATGCCCAGGATTGCACGTTTTATTAGTAGATTTCTTATAATGATTGGATGCTTTATGTTCGTTCTTTTCTAATCCAATTCTATTTCCATAGCAAGATCTACTTTTGTTTATTCCATCAGCATGATTCGTTTCTGCTGGTTTCTGAAAATGTTCAAATGCTTTCTTTTCATCGGAGCCACCAAGTTTGTTTTTGATCATCTTTCAATCATTCATGTTGGTATTACTTTGACCAATTAAATTAACTCACAGCTTTCTTTTCTCTCTCAGTTTATTCCCGACTTTCTTACAACACCTTTGATCATTGTTCATACTCCCCTTGACACTATTTTTATACACAGCTTCTGCTCCTTTACTCATATTCACATATCTCATAAATCTTATATCACCCACTTTTGATATGCTTTCTTTACCAATGTTCTTTTCACACGCTAATTCTACCCTTTTACCTTTCAGTCTATCCCTTTTGCCGATATACTTCACAGGTATGACGCCACTTTTTATTTGTGTCATTTTATTCCTAGTATTTTTACTATGGATTTGATTATGGTTCATACTTCTCCTAACACTATCATTATTCACAACTTTTGCTCTTTTTTCCATTTCCATAAACCTAAGGGACCTTAAATCCTTGATATTATTATTCAGATATATGTCGTTTCTTTTTTCTTTTTGGTTATTCTTTTTATTTACCTTCTTTCTATCTTTAGATACATCTATGCTACGTTTCTAACATTCATGCTTTACTTGACTTAGACAATCATGGGCAAAATATCATTTATATCAACATATGTAGCACAGCCGAGATCTAAAATGATGTTGTTCTCCTTGCATCTTTTTCAAGCTTTTCACGGCTTTAGCAACCAATCTCATCATACTTTTGATTAACGACACTAAACCAATTTCACCTTCCATTTTTCTTTGTTTACCACTTAGGCATGTAATGTCTTTTGAAAGTCTTTATTTATCCGAACTTTATACTAAATAATGTTCTTTTGTCCAATCTTTCACGTTGTTTACAAGGGTATTTTGCTTACCCAGGTCCTTTTTGTCATGAAATCACATAAACTATCTTGTATTAGTGGGTCTTTACTATCAACTCACACTCACTTGGCAATACGATGACTAGTGTATCGTACCAGATACTACCACCAGTATGATCACTAAGATACAGTTTATTCACTAAGAATACTTTAAAGAACTCAATTCTCCAGTCCAAAGACTGTTTAATTCTTTATTTACATTTCGCTATTTAAGTGATTCAAAGCAATTACATATTTTGTATTACAGTTTAACTATTTCTTTGTTATTAATTAATTAAACTTTTTATTGTTTGCCAACCCAACATCATATTTATGCAATCAATGATCAAGATACCTTTTGTACCTGATCTTGCATGTGCCGCCCACATCTTAATTCATACCTCGACTCTGATCGATCACATGATCACGTGAGTCGCTTGATTCACATCTTCGTTCACCCATCTTACTATTAACTATTTCGTTACAAATTTGTATACCTTTTACTAGGTACAAGAGCTCTTCATTAACTATGCGACATAAAGTAACGATTAAATAACTAACTATAGATCAAATAAATCAGACTTTGTGCATAATATAAAGTTATTTATATTAATCAATCAAATATATATTTGCTAATTTTTGTGCAATTTCGATAATTTCATATCAATAAGGTGCCTAATATAACGATATATTCTATATATTTTAATTCGGTTAACTATTTAAAATGCTATATATTGTTATCACTACTATTTCTCATAATTATGTACTGTAACGCAATTTCATCAGTATAAATAAATTAATAAAATTACAATTCATTGAATAAAATTACAATTCATTAAAAATATTACAATTCGTGTAAAAAAAAAACCGCATCGTTTAAACTTCATCATTCTAAAATCAATAAAGTTACAAAAAGAAAAGTATTTGAATAGTTTATCCCTCAATTTTACAATAAAACTATGCCAAAATACAGTGATTATAATACTCGACTCACTGCTATTAATAGTGCCCTTAAGGCTATTAAAAACTCTTCAACTAATCAAACTCCAAGCACCAGAAGTATTGCAAAAGACTATGGTCTTTCGGAAGTCACCCTTAGACGTGCTATCAGTAATGATGGTTACCCTTCTCGCCCAGGCCGTGCTAAGGTTTTGACAAATCACGAAGAGAGACAACTCGTCAGTTACTGCTTGAATATGCAGAAACTTGGTTTTGGATTAACCAGGTCTGGCATAAACTATTGCATGATGGAAATTTTTAGTCAAAGCGGACACCTAATCCTTTTAGTGAAAGTGGTTCAGAGCAAAAATGGTGGCAACGCTTTATGAAGGTCCATCTGGAACTGTCATTTTGTGTATCACAAGCCTTAAACGAAGCCTGCGCACAAAAAGCAAACTCCATCATTGTTAATGACCATTTTAACAAATTAGAAAAAATCATTCAAGAACATTCACTTACCCCTGACAGAATTTGGAACATGGTGCTATTTTTTTTTATTTTTTTTTATTTTTTTTATTATTTTTAATTTTTTTTTTTATATTGCCAAACGTAGAAACTTTATTAGTCATGATTCACACCTTTTTACAGAGCAATTGATATACA